CGGAGCTACTGGACCAGTGCAAGGTGGGGGGAAGGGGGCGGAGGGGGGGGAGAGAGGCTGTGTGTGTTTGCGAGTAGGTGAGTCTGTGTATGGTGTATGGGTTAGGGGCTCGCTTTGAGATTCTTCGCTGATGAAAACGGGTTGAGAGGGCCGATAACGATTCCGGCCGTCACCATCTGGGTGTTGCCCCCCACACCCACAACGCCATTTCATTCCCCCATCCGCCCTGCCATTCGCACCACCACCACGACAACCTCATAAGGCCTTGGAAGGTCGTCACGGACTCTTTTCGAAACTTCTCTCTAAGTACCAGCGGAGGTTTGGAGCACAGGACGAGCAAAAGGCGCCCGTCAGCGGCGGCAACGTCGATAGGGTCGCGGGAAGGGCTGTCGTACAGCAGGGCAGTGACGGCGCTGCAGCGGCGGCGGCGGCGGCGGCCGGAGGAGATGCGGCCGTAGCGGCAGCGGCAGGAACCGGTGCCGCCGTAGCCCCTGGACCCATGGATGAGGCGGATGTCGTACTCAAAGCACTATCGGTGAGCTCGTACATTGACCGTACGTCGTGCATGCTGTTATCCCAGCTGACAGCCTATCAGCTACAAACCTACAAAATTGCAGACCTGCCAAGTTGTCTGCATTCTTGAAAAATGTCTCTTGTTTGTACGGCAGTAGACGGTTGGAGTGAGCATGTGTGTCCGTTTGTTTAGCAACGTCATCCCGGATCCTTGAACCACTCTTTAACCACCTCTCAACTACCTGTTAACCACCTCTCAACCACCTCTCAACCACCGGGGGGATTTAGTCCTTCGTCTCTTTAGTCCTCCCACCTTTTAGTCCGTCTCCATTCACAGTACTGCCGGTACCGGGTACCGCCGCTCTCCGCGGCCTCACCATGTCGTCCGATCCGGTCCGGCCGGGGGGGAAGGTGGTTGGTGGTTCCGTTCTCCTAACTAACAACCGCCACGTCCCGTAACCGCCAACCGCTTCCGGCATAGGATGATGATGACACAGAGGACCAACAAGCTGCCACAAACTGGTGGGCTAAAATAATGGAGCGAAACAGGCGTTACTTGGAGGTGGGGAAGTGGACTTTGGAGTCTTAGAGTTGGCTTGTTTGTTTCACTTATGTATTATTCAGGCTTTAAGACAACACCCGAGCGGGATTTCTGATTGTTGACCGTGGATTATGTTACAGGATGGTGATAGTGCCCCAGTAAGGGGGCTTAGGTGAACGTTGTTGCTGTTGTATTATAAAGTATCGCAGGTACCTCTTAAGTTGCAACCATGAGAATGCTTTGAATTTTTGAAATTTGAAACTCCCGCTTTTTTTCCTTCCGTGGCTAACCCCGTTTTCCCCCGGCACACACACACACACACACACACACACACACACACACACACAACACTACTGTTCCTCAGGCCAAGGCCAAGGGTATGGCGGACGAGGCAGCGGAGGCCGCTGCCGCTGCCGCCGCTGCTGCTGCCGCTGCAGCGGCCATCAGCGGCAGTTCCCGTACATCCATTACCGCCGGCGGCGGCGACGCTGACGGCGGCGACGCCGCGCCCCTCCAGTTCCCCATGGCTCTCCTTGGCACATTGTACGACAGTCCGCCAGTGACGCCGTCAGCGGCGCCGTCAAGCACCACGGGTCACCGGCGGGGGGCTCCCCCGGGGGCTCCCCCGGGGGCTGCGGGCGGCTGGAGGCCGTACGGAAAGAGGGGTACGACGGCGGCGGCAGTGACGGCGGCGGGCGGAGGCAATATGTTGCCGGTGCCGCCGCCGACGCCTCCGCCAGGCCCCCTGCCCGAAGATTCTCCGCCCAAGATGCCCGTTATGATGCGAATAGGGAAGGGCATCAAGGGGCAGGTGGGGAGCATGTCTCTTATGGGGGTTTAGGGTTTGGGGTTTCAGAAGGTACTCGAAGCGGTGAACCTTGTAACTGCCTTTCCTTGGAAGGTAAGGAAGTTCGCCAAGAAGTAGTATGTATGTATGTATGGCGTAGGAGTCTAGTACTACATTGCGTACTACATTCACGATTATTTTTCCTGTTGGTATTCCTCTTCTTATCACATATCTCTCTCTCTCTCTCTCTCTCTCATACCCTGCTGGTGCATCACAGTCGGGGGGCCTCGGACAGCAATGGTTCCCAATGACTGTCTGTATGTTGTTACAGGGTGGTTACAGGGTGACTGTCTGTTCGACCAAATCCAACGCTTTCCCCTTCCCTTCTTCTCCCTTCCCCTCCCCTCTCCCCTCCCCTCCCCTCTCCCCTCCCCTCCCCTCCCCTCTCCTCTTCCTTCCCCCTCAGCCACTGGGCCCCCTCCCCCCACAATCACGTCACACCCTAAGAATGTCTGGTTTCGGTTTGTCGTTTTGTAGCTACCTTAACCACCAGCAAACAACCACCAACCGAAAATACCGGCACCCAAAACTTGCACAGACACCAGGGTTGTAACATTTTCAACATCTTTTTGTCGTGGTGAGATTTAATTATGAAACACATGTAACAAGTATGCACGCATGGATACACACATACATACACATACACACACATCTTCCCCCTCTCTTCCCCCCTCCCCCGCAGGCAACCCCCGGGCCCCCCTCTGCAGCCCTGGTGGCCACACTCCGAGAGGCGGTCACTGACGCACTGGTGGAGGTGGGGGCGAGCTCCGATGTGAAGGAGGCCGCGGGGGTGCTCACTGAGGGCGGCACCATTGCATACCAGCAGGTATGTGTCTGTCTGTATGACTGTGTGTCTGTCTGTCTGTCTGTCTGTATGACTGTCTGTCTGTCTGTCTGTCTGTATGACTGTCTGTCTGTCTCTGTCTTATTGTCATGCCTGTCTGTCAAGTATGTCATGTCTGCCTGTGAAATATGTCTGTCTGTCTTTCTGTCATGTATGTCTGTCAAGTATGTTTATCTGTCAACTATGTCTGTCAAGTATAACTGTCTGTTTGTATTTCTATGCTTCCGGATTTGGATCTGGATCTGAATCTGGTTCTGGAATTCGTGCAGGTGGGGCCTCACACCTTGGCGGATCTGATCCACATACTGGTGGACATCAAACGGATGAATACCCGCCATCTCCGAGCCCTCATCGGAACCAACGGAAACGGTAACAATAACGGTAACGGTAACGGTTCCGTACTGGTAAATCAGGTCGTCAGCCCCAAGAAGATTGCGCTTCCAACGGTGGCGGAGGGCATCGAGGCATCAGGGAAGGCAGCCCCAGCAGCGGTGACGGCGGTGGCGGTGGCGGCGGCAGCACCACCTTCGGCCGAGTCACAGACGCGCACCGTGACTGCTGGGAGGGCATTACCGGCCTCACCTCGACGAAGTGTGCTTGGGAGTACGGCGGTGGGCAGTAGTGGTGGTGGCGGCGGCGGAGAGCATGTTGGAGGCGTCGCCACTATTGGCGCCCCGACGGCGATTTGGCGGGGGGCCACAGCAGCAGGTACTGCTACTGCTACTGCTGGAGATCCGAATGATGACGGCGGGGGCGCCGCGGGTGCTACTGCTGCCGCTGCTGACGGCGGCTCGACTGCCGCCGCCGCCGCCGCCGCCGCCGCCGCCGCCGCCGCCGCCGCCGCCGGGGATATCACCCCAGAGATGACGGAGGTGACGGTGAACACCAACGGCGGTGCTGATGGCGGTGATGTTGACGGCGGTGGTGGCGGCGGTGGTGGTGGCGGTGAGGATGCCGAGGGTGCTCATGATGGCGGCAGTGGGCGATGAGGATGCACGGCGGCGAATGCAGCGATGATGTACAGGTTTTCGGCCGCCCGAACCCCGNACCTCCCTGNTATGGATGCAGCCACCCTATGTGCCATTCGGGCAACTTTACAGGTACGTACGGCAGGAACGCCGTGTGTACGGCTATATGCCTCACACACAGCTGAACATGAGGTCATCCTAACCAGATACCGCCGTTATGATGGTTATTTGATCCATCAAAAGATGGCGGCCAAGGTTTTGACAAAACATGACACGTACAACAAACCTAAAGATACCTAGATACGTATACATACATACATACATATGTATTATCAAGCGCACAAAAAAAACACATAAAACACATCATTGTTGCGTAAGTTCCCCCTCTTAACCCTAAAAACCCTCACCTTCCCCCCGGGCTCACCCCCAACCCCCAACCCCCAACCCCAGGGCGCGGGCTTGACCCCGGGGGACTTGTCCGGCATGTTGGCATCGCATGGAATGGGACTGGCGATCGACGTACAACCGCACGTACTGGCGCACGTGGCCAAGGTGGATAGTTGGGGTGGTTGGGGTAGTTGGGTTGGTTGGGCCCATTTGCAGCCCCGCTGTGGGTACCTGTGTAGTACTGCTGGGTTCAGCCATGTTCCTGCTCGCCGACTTCTCTCCTGCCACCCGGCCTCAGAAGCTCCAGTACTGTAGTACAGGTCAACTGTAGTACAGGTCAACTTTACAACTCGGGTACGACTGTACACTTCTTGTCGTCTTTAATCCCCCAAACCCCCGTAACCAAACCGTGTTTTTCTCTCCCCTCTCTCCCCTAAAACGCTTTGGACACCAACAAATGATGTTTTTTTTTGCTTTCCTCCTGAGATGATGATGGATGTCAAACCCTTTACGGAATCCCCCGCACCTTCCCCGGTGGGGTGGGGTGGGGTGGGGTGGTTGGGGTGTATCATCGTGTGCAGGTATTGGCGGAGGCGGGTTTTGACACGGAAGCCATCGTCGCCTTCCTCTTTCCCCCTGAAGCTGAGGAGGAGTTGGAGGCGGTTGGTCTGGGTATCAATCTCCCGTTGAGTGACGTACAACTCGAAGCCATGCGGGTTGCGCTACAAAAGGTACGAAGCCATCTTCTCATACACTTTAGCAGGGTATTTCACTCCCCCTCATACAACCCCCTGCGCCCCACCCCCTCAGGGCCCCTGGGACCAATCGCCTCTACCTGCCAACATTGGGGGTGGCGGGGTGTGTTTTGCTTGTTTGACTTCTCGACAGTCAACTCCTCAACTTTATAATACTCCCAACCGCCTTGCTGACTTTGCATCGTGTCGTACCCTGACGTGTTCGTATCTGAGCTCTTCTAGGTTTGTCCTGCTCGGTCACAACTGCCATTAACGACCACCACTAACGATTTCCAACGACTTTTAACCGCAGGCCGGTGTGGATGACGCGCTGGTGGACCTTGTTCGTTCTTGGACGGCTGATATACGAGCTATCCAGGTACGACGTTTCGTACTGATTCGTACTCTGGAGACGAACACCCGACGCAAATCGCATATGTATATGTATATGTGCACACGATGCACTCACATACCAGTTGGGTCCCTCAGCGGCGGGCCCCAGTTTAGTGAAAGGAGTTTCCCTCCCCCCCTCCCATCCCCCCTCCCTCTTCCTGATACACACCCCCCTCCACACACGCCCTCCCCGGTCAGATACTTGTAACCACCACACACAATACACACAACACACAATATACACGCATATTCCCCCCCCATACACACCCACCCACCCACATCCACACCCACCCACACACGCACCCACACAGGCGACTTCTGCCGCCTTGGAGGCGAGCGGCTTCACCCCCCTGGAGGTGCAGCGCTTCATCGCCCCGGCCGCCTCCACTGCCCTCATTGACGCGCTGCGCCGCCGCGGCCTCACCCCCGCCGCCGCCGCCACCCTCCTGAGGCGGGACGGCAGGGGGCTGGCCATGGACCTGTCGCCACAGGTGGGTTGGTGGCGGTTGGGAGTTGGGTGGTTGGGTATATGGTTGCTTGAATGGAGTGTCTGTGTGTCTGTGTGTCTGTGTGTCTGTGTGTCTGTGTGTCTGTGTGTCTGTGTGTCTGTGTGTCTGTGTGTCTGTGTGTCTGTGTGTCTGTGTGTCTGTGTGTCTGTGTGTCTGTGTGTCTGTGTGTCTGTGTGTCTGTGTGTCTGTGTGTCTGTGTGTCTGTGTGTCTGTGTGTCTGTGTGTCTGTGTGTCTGTGTGTCTGTGTGTCTGTGTGTCTGTGTGTCTGTGTGTCTGTGTGTCTGTGTGTCTGTGTGTCTGTGTGTCTGTGTGTCTGTGTGTCTGTGTGTCTGTGTGTCTGTGTGTCTGTGTGTCTGTGTGTCTGTGTGTCTGTGTGTCTGTGTGTCTGTGTGTCTGTGTGTCTGTGTGTCTGTGTGTCTGTGTGTCTGTGTGTCTGTGTGTCTGTGTGTCTGTGTGTCTGTGTGTCTGTGTGTCTGTGTGTCTGTGTGTCTGTGTGTCTGTGTGTCTGTGTGTCTGTGTGTCTGTGTGTCTGTGTGTCTGTGTGTCTGTGTGTCTGTGTGTCTGTGTGTCTGTGTGTCTGTGTGTCTGTGTGTCTGTGTGTCTGTGTGTCTGTGTGTCTGTGTGTCTGTGTGTCTGTGTGTCTGTGTGTCTGTGCATCGATAAACAAGGTTATGTTAGCGCCTTCGCTTTGAAAAATAACATATATAATTCATTAAGATCTGTGTCTGTGTGTGTGTCTGTGTGCGTCTGTGTTTCGCCCGGGGAAGGAAGGGGTTCGTGGGGGAGCTGCACCACCAATCGGCGGCCTGATGCCTGATTTGGTTTCCCCTCCTCTGAGACCGGTGGTCCTGGTGGCCTGAACAGGAGCTCGCTGAGGCGGCGAATGCGATGGCGGCGGCTGGCTTCACGGCCGAGCAAGTGGTCAAGGCCATCGGATCTGATGCCGCTTCCGTACCGCCCCTGGATCCAGGTGGGCTATGTAGGGTTTTAGGGGTTTATGGTGGGGAGAAGGGGTGGGGAAGAGGGTATTGGACGACCTCCCAATATACCATGAGGGGGTCCTGTGTGTGTGTATGTGTATGTGTGTGTGTGTGTGTGTGTGTGCTCGGGGCGGGGGATATGGAAGGGGAGGGCCGGTGGGCGCCGGGGGGGGGGAGAGCACAACTGTGTGTTTGTGTGGCTCTAGGTGTTCCCTTCTCCCCCTTGGGGTTTAACTAGGCCCGCCAGATGAGGCGGAGTGGTCGCCTACGGATGCTGCTGGTGTTGATGAGGTGTGATCCATTCTTCCTTCCCGCTTGCTTGTACCGTGTTTTAATGTTGCCGTACACAATGATCTGTTAGTCCTCATTAGGTTTTCAAATTCCAATTCAAATTCCAATTCCCAAATCCTCGGTACGCATCCGCAGCGGGTCTGGATGTCTGCCGGGAGGCCCTTTTGTCGGACGGCTTTACGGAGGAGGAGCTGGATGAGGTCGTACTAACAGACAACGGTACGGCACTGCAGGACACGATTGGAGCTGCCACGGTGAGTTTTTGACTTACAACAGTGTACTTCAATGAAATTATATAATGCATGGTGGGCACATATGTACGTATGTATGCATGTATAACGAAGTTAACGACACTTTGGTTGTGTGTTAGTTTGTGTAAGTTTGTGTTAGTTGGTGTTAGTTGGTGTTAGTTGGTGTTAGTGGATGGTAGTTGGTGTTGGATTCCCCCTCGGCGGAAGTTCGGGGTTTTGGGTGTCCCCTGTGTGTTTGGCGTTATCTACATCAGGGAGTTGCGCACTCACATAACCACCGTTGTCATCATCGTCATCATTTGCATCGTTGTCATCATCATCAAGATTAGCGCCTCACGTGTGTATGTGTCGTACATGTCGTACATGTTATTGCGAGACAGATGGCGCGTGTAGCTGGCGCGCTGGCACATGGCGGTCTCACCTCCGAAACTATCCGGCGTTTCCTTCGGTACGACATTGTACGAGCTGGACAGTCCCAACTACCGCAACGGGCGCTGCGCGCCATGCATTCTGTAATTTCGATGGCCGTACGACCGGGGGTAAGTGTCATACCGTCGTACCGCATACATAACACTTAATTCCCCTAATCCACCACACCCCAGCACCACCCCCGGTCTCACTCTTCCCCCCAATATCGTGCCCCCCCACCTGCCACTCGTACGGCACCCCCACCCCACCCACTCCACCCCACTTGAAACCCCATGCCCAGGATTTTCAAGGTTCCTGGCCCCCCGAGCGTTTCTTTTCTGATTTCCGGGAATAACATGTTTCAACCCGTACATGTATTCGTACACCCGTACACCCTACATACATACAGGATCCACGATATTTTGATGCGGCTGGTGGTGGTGGTGGTGGTGGTGGCAGCGGGCCGCTGCTACTTCCCGACGGCTCGGGGGTGGCTCCGGATGCCGGGGTGGGAGTGGTGGCACAGGCGAGTGGTGGTTGTGTGGCGGTTGGCGGTTGGCTGTTGGGGGTTGGGGGTTGGGGTGAAAGGCGCCCAATAATAATGTCGAAAGAAGTGATGCACATCCACTGTCTTCCTTTTTTACACCAAATTTGATGTATATGGCCAAAGACGTTACAAAGGCTTGGAGTTGTGAAGCTCGTGAATTATTGTCAACAAAGGAAGTTGAAGAATTTGCCGAAAGGTTAAAAAATTATCACAATCATCTGTGTTGTGTGTGCCTCACACAAACCCCAACCCTCCTCTTGCAGATTGGCGGCGCACTCGTGGACGCCATGTTCAAGCCCGCACAGATCAGAGCCTTCCTGATGCCCCCGGGGGGGGAGGGGGGAGAGAAAGAGGGGGGAGATCGCGACGCGGCGGCGGCGGCGGCGGAGCCATCATCACCTCCTGGCCTTGACCCGCTAGGGCACAGCACCCTTGGCGGCGGCGGCGGCGGAGGGGGGCAGCGGCGGCGGCAGTTCCTAAACCCCAGAGATGTTGTCGTATTTAGATCTGTACTGATGGCATCAGGCTTTACGACACAAGATCTCATGGAAATTGTACGACAGGATGGACGAGGATTGGATCCAGATTCAGAACCGGAGCTGGCGGCCAAGGCGGTGGCGGCCTTGGTGGCGGCGGGGTTCAGGTGAGCGTGTGTGCGATAAAAAAACTCTTTAGTAACAAGTATGTTTTGAAAAATCATAAATACGTTACTCAGGCTACTCAGGTGTACATCTGACCAAAACGTATGTATGTATGTGCGTGTGTGTATTGGGGGAATGTGGGTTTCAATTAATGGCGGGTTTTAGATTGACAGGAAAAAGGGAACGGCGGATGGGTGGGGTGCAATCGGAGGGAAGGTGGTTGGTTTTTGCACAAACCGTTAACTAACCTGGCCCAACCGTTAGTACCCACGGGGGTTGGGGGGAATGATAGAGTCGGGTTTACAGGAGACCCCCCATCATTTTCCGACAATCACATTCTTTCACATTCAATCGCCCCAACGGAATAATGCAACCGTCCAACCACCCAACCGCCAACCGCCCAACCAGGGGTCACGAGATTCAGCTTTTTTTGCAGCTTAGAGATCCCGCCGTCGCCATGACGCCGTCAGAGGCGGCTGCCGCACGTACGGCACTTGTGACGGGGGGTTTTAGTGCCGTACAACTGGAGGAGTTGCTGCGGCGCGACGGGCTGGGGCTGGCTTCGGATCCGGAACCGGATCCGTACGTTATGTCGCAGGTGGCTGTCGTACTGGCGGGGGCTGGCTTTCCCACCTTCCATATATGTCAGTATTTGGCTCCCGCTATGCCGCTGGTGCCGTTGAAAGTCCTGGCTGTGGGCCGGTAGGTCGGGTCGGCTGGTTGGGATTCGGCTCTGGATTCAAATTTAGGTTTTAAATGATAGTGATTTACCTTGGGTTGTTTATCCTTGTGGTTGTTATTTTTTGAAAAACATTTCTTCAGGCGGTTTGTTATAAGAAGGATTGTAATCCTTAGAAGTAGTAAATCGAGGGAAGGGGGTTTTGGAGCTGACTTAGCGGGAAACACCAGATCAGGCTCATCTTGAGGATAGAGGGGGGCGGGCTAGCAAAGCAAGTTGACTCCCCCTTTCCTGAACTAAGAAAACGCTGCGTTCAAGCTCCGTTGCCTGATTTGGAAATTGAAAAGAGATATTCTCATATAGGTTTCCTAAGATTCCGAATTTCGCGGAAATCCTTTTTTTCCTTTTTTTGTTGGGCGATATTTCATAACAGCATTTCCGGCTTATTATTTATGTACTGTCACACACACACACATATACACACACACACACACATACACAAACGTGTACACACACGTACAGGTATTTTGGCCACAGTGTCAGCGGGAAGCTCCGGTCGACGGTGTCCGTACGGTCCGTCGGCCCCGGCGTCCATCCCTGGGCTGTCGTCAGTACGACAGAGGACGGCCGCTTGCTTCCGGAAGCTGACGTCAGCGATGACGAGGAGGACAGAATGGCGGCAGAGGCAGCGGCGGCCGCCGCCGCGGCGGAGGCGGCGGCAGAGCGTGTCCGTCGGCAGCGGGAGGCAGCGGCGGAGGCTCCGGGCGCAGAAGCCCTGCCGCCTGGGTATGAAGCAGCGGCGGTGGCGGCAGCGGCAGCAGCGGATCTGACTGGCGGCGAGCTTACCGCCCGCAGCGACACGGTGGCGGCGGCGGATTGGCTGACGCTGCCGCCATCCGTACTGCAAGCAATGCGAGAGGCAGTGGAACGACGTTGCAAGGGCCTCAACATGAAGCAGTTACGGCAGCTTGCGTTGCAGATGGCGGACACCACCGCCACCGCCGCCACCGTCGCCTCCAGCGGCGGCGGCGGCGGCTCCTGGCTCCCTCTCGACGCCGAGGTGACGTCCCAGGTTGTTCGCGCTCTCTCCGCCGAGGGCTTCTCGACGGATCAGATCCGGCGGTTCTTCATGCAGCCGGCGCTGGCTGCCGTGGTGGAGGGGGGCTGCAGTGAGGCGGAGCTGTTTGACCACATACCTCCCGCGCTGATGTTCCTTGTACGTGCTCTCCTCAAGGTGGGTCGGTGGGTCGGTGGGTCGGTGGGTCGGTGGGTCGGTGGGTCGGTGGGTCGGTGTGGGCGGTGGGTACAGGGATGGCAGTGTCCTTGGTAGCGCTAGTGCAACTGGAGGTGGTGGCGGGGAAATAAGCATTGAGGGGGATTTGAACTGCTCACCTAGCACAACCTGGAAAAGAGAAAGAGAACGGATGAAAGAAAAAGCCGCTGTTGCTTTGGTGAATTAATGTGTTATGTTGTGTTGCATAATGTGTTTTCCTTTTAGATTTACAGTATCTTCTCCCCCCCGTCTTTTCCCCTCTTCCCACGCCACCGTTCCTTCTCCCCGTCTCCTTCGTCCCCCCCTCAAGCTCCCTCACCTGCCCCCCACCCCTAACTTCCCAGGCCTCCGGGTTCACTGACCAGCACATGTCCAACATGTTGTCTGCGGACCGCCGCCGACTGGACCCGGATTGGGACGTGGAGAGCGGCTGCATGATGGTGGCGGCCCTGGCGAGAGCCGGGTTCTCTCCGCAGCTGATTCGGTTGCTGCTGACCACTGGTGGGAGCCCCAAAAGGGGGGGGCCGGGGGGTAGAAAGGTTCTGGAAAGTACGACAGTAAACAGTACGACTGCCGACTGAGTGGTTCCAGTTAGATGTCAGGTAGTGGTTTCGGAGCCTGCATTGGTCCGTTCCCGTCACTTTCCCACAACCCGCGAACGCGCGAAATCTCTTTTTCTTTTCTTATTTTGTGGTCCCCTCTTTCGCCCGGATGAGGAGGAGGAGGAGGAAGGATATCTCCCACCCTTCGCTACGCTCCCTAACCTGCCCCAACCTACCGTCCCATGGGTCACAGGTCCTCCAGTCGGCGCCCTGACTCCCAACGAGCTTGGAACCATCAATGAAGCATTGCTGGTATGTATGTACATATGTACGGCAGGGAGGGATTTATGGGGCTACAGCCTCTGCACGGGTGTCTAGGGGCAAGCCATTTCCTCCCCGTGTACAAACCCACCGGCTGCCCCTTAACTGCCTAACTGACCAGCCCTCGACCAACAAACCTCCAACCCCCAACCAACCCATCAACTAACATTCCAACCAACATGATGTATCAGAATCAATAAATTCCGATATCGCAAATCCGTTATCCTGTGTGTTCACCGTATTTCACCCTGGTGGTTGTCGCGGCGGGTGGTTGCTGTATTTGGCCCCGATGTTCACCCATATAGGAGGCGGGTTACTCACGTCGGCAGCTTCGTCTAGTCCTTCGGTCCGATCATTCTGGGCCCGGGCGCCATGTGGATTCAACCACCCTGGCGCAGATGGCAACTGCTCTGTCACATGTGGGTAGTTGGGAGTTGGTTGGGTGGCGGTTGGCGGTTTGGGGTCGTTGGGGAAGTGTTTGGGGGAGGGGTATTGGGAGGGGTAGCGCGGGACAACTTGGATTCCATTTGGGGGTTGGGAGGGGTTGGCAGGTAGCAGGTGGCGGTGTGTTTCAACATCCATGGCCGGCTATGATGAAGGGAAATGGTGGTGGTGGTGGTGGTGGTGGCGATGGTGGTGGTGGTGGTGGTGGTGGTACCATCAGATAATATGGTGGCGCCATCCGTGAGTAACTTTGTGATGTGCCGAAGCAGCTACCTCCAGTGTAGTCATCAGCGACGTGTGTCGTTAGACCCTTTCCAACGGAAAAAAAACCCTAAGTTGTATTGTTTATATTGCTGGAATCTCGAAGTGTATGTGGAATGGAAACGTGATGGCGAAGTCTGTTTAGTGATACCAGTGTAGGGTTCGTACTGTACTGCAACTCCACTTAACAGCTACATGAACTAATTCACCATCCCGCCTTCTTCCCCCTCCTCCCTGTACACACACTACACGCACACAGGCGGGTTGTACGGCAGGGCAGCTGTGTCAGTTCCTGGGCCCTCCGCCCGCCGCGTTCACCAAACCCGTGCCACTGCCGCTTCTCTCGCCCCTCCTCGCGCTTATTAATGGGGCCCCCCAAGCCCTATCTTCCACCACCTCCACCACCTCCACCACCACCTCCGCCGTCGCCGTCACCAACCTCTCCCTGGCCGCGTCCTCCTCCGTCCCCCTCATCACCTCCACCGCCTCCACCGCGACCCTCCCCAGCACCAACACCCCCCTCACCATCTCCTCGAGCCTCCCCGCCTCGCTCTCCTCCATGCCAAGCAGCAATGGTGGCGGCGGCACCACCACCGCTGCTGGCATCACTGCCGTACTCGACAGCCGCAGCGTCATGGACATCCGAAACGTGGCGGCTAGCTGCGGGTTTAGCAGCCGTGTTTTAGCGGATATGATCCGTCCGGACGGTCGGGGGCTACAACGTCATGCAGACCCACGGGTCATTGAGCGTGTGGGACTGCACATGGTGAATCAGGGTTTTACGACAGCGCAGGTGTACCGCTTTTTACTGCCAAACGGAGGTTGCGAGTATGGCCAGCTGGATCCACCTACTGCAGCTGCCGTACGTGCCGTACTATTGGCAGCGGGATTTTCAATTGCTGACCTTAAGGTGGGCTGAGGGGCAAGGTGTGTGTGGTGTGGGAGGTGGGGGGGGAGACAGGGGAAAAGGGGGGTTGGGATTTTTGGATGCATTCCAAGGCGATGTGTTTCGGTGTGCAGTGTGTGGGGCCGGCCTCCCGTCTTTTACCGCCTGGTACGATCTCTTAGGGTTTTCTGGAAGGTCCTAGTTTATTTTACCCTCCCTGGCCCTCACTCCCGTCTCCCTCCCCCATCGTGTCCTCAAACAGACTCTCTTAACTAACAACGGTACAACCATAACCACAACCGCCTCCGCCGCGACCTTGGCGGCAGTGGCCTACACCCTGGCGGCGTCGGGCGCCACCGCCGACCAAATACGGCACCTCCTGCGCCCGCCGCCGGGTGCCGTACCCGCGCCGCCACCTCAATCACCAAAATCTGGCGGCGGCGGTGGTTCTTCTCCCGCCGCCGCCGCCGCCGCCGCCGCCGACAGCGTGTCCAGTCTCGCGGTGGCGATCCTGAAGGGCCTCATGTCGGCTGGGTACGAAGATCATCAGCTGGATCTGATTTTGCGTAAGGACGGTACGGCACTTCGAGCCGACGTAGGGCCCTTGAGGCTGGCCCAGGTAAATATCGGCCCAAGTAATCCGGGGCTCAACCCCCAAATGAACATCAACATCAACATTAACATTAACATCAATCCGACTTGAGTACCTCCCAGCGGAACCCCCCCATGGGGGCTCTGGGGGGTGTCGAATAGTTGTCCCCATGTCCACATCCCCATGTCCACATCCCCATGTCCACATCCCCATGTCCACATCCCCATGTCCACATCCCCATGTCCACATCCCCATGTCCACATCCCCATGTCCACATCCCCATGTCCACATCCCCATGTCCACATCCCCATGTCCACATTCCCCCCCCACTGCTGCTGCCCCATTCACCCAACGTGAAGCTGTCCAAGGTTCTAAACCCTGGTTCCGTCGCTGCTAACAAGCCGTGTCCTGCCTAGTTTGTGTGTTAATTCTCTAGTTTTATGTTCTGTATTTGCCACTGATGCTGTTTTCTCTGGCTTCTGCGGCGGTTATGGTGGTTGCCAGATGGTGGCGGCTCTGGCGGCTGCGGAGATTCCGGCAGCAACCATCCGGTTGTTTGTCAGGTTGGTAATGGTTGGGGCGGGTGGTTGGTGGTCGTTAACGCGGTGATTGGTGGTCGTTAACGCGGTGGTTGGTGGATGTGTCTTCAGCCCAACTTGCTTGCTCGTGAACACCCCGCCCTACCCACCCATCCGGGATCCCACCAGACAACCGTACAACTCGAAATTTCCGAAAAGCCGTAACTCCGAAACCATCACCCGCCTCATTCCCCAAGCCGTATCTGAACCTCTCTCCCCCTCTCCCCCAACCCCTACATAGCTCCCACCCCCCCAACCCAATGCCTTTTGCACCCCTTCTCTCAGGCCTCTGGGTGGTGTCCAGCCGGCTGTGGCGCTCAGTCTGCGAGCAGCACTTGAGCAATGTCCCGGGTTCGACTCCGAACGTGTGCAGGCAGCTTTTAGTCCGGAGTTATATGAGTTGGGACCGTCTGTAGGTAAGCGGTAGGCTGTCAGTCTTCTAGGAACAAGCGGGGAATCAGTTCCGGGTGGGGGGCCCCCCCTGGATCATACATCATCGTATCTGGCCGTTGTGGCCCCTCTAGACAGGTGCATGGGTGGGCCCCCCCTATAAAACCCTAAAACCCTGACTCCCCCCTAAACCCGCAAACTAACCCCCGCAGAGCCATCCACCTTGGCCGACATCGCCAACGCCCTCAGTACGGCTGGCGTCAGTGCTGACGTCATCAGGCAGCTTCTCAGCCTTCCCCCGGGCTTGGGATCCGGATTTGGACCGGGAACCAACATCTCCAACCTCCTAACCGTCGCCTCCGCTGCCGCCACCGCCGCCGCCGGGGGTGGAGAGGCCGCCACTGCCGCCCCCGCCGCTGCACCAGCGGCGGAGGGGTCCGTGGCGGCGGCTCCGTCGCCCGTACAGCCGCCGGCGTCACCCTCGGGGCCGCTGCTCCGGGGCCGTGCA